ATGCATGCATCCATGCATGCATGCATTCATGCATGCATGGATGTATCTATGTATGTATGTATGTATGTATGTATGTAGGTATGTATGCATGTATGTATGCTTGTGTGTGTGTGTGCGAGTGACGACATTCGTTCCGACCACGTGCATGCGCCTTCGGCCCTTTGAAGAAGTACATTAGGAGCTTGGTAAGCAGAAGGAACATCTCCATGTCGGCCGCCCTCTCATGAACCTGCCAAGAAAAGGGCTCTGCACTCAAGAAAACAGCAACACGATTGATTCGCCTCATCTATGACGACATGCGTGAAGCTTCCGAAATGCTCAGGCTTCGCCAAGAACCAGGTCAACACATAACCTCCCAGGTCAGCATTTAATTAGTCACTTGAGCGCATAAGCTCCAACAAGAAGAATCAAAAGGATTTGTCCCCGACCATGACCTATAGTTGCGAATTGCAATTTGCCAGAACCACGAACCGTCTCGCCGGAGATGCGGTAGCCAACGTTCTGGCCGATCCGTTCGCCCCTTTCAGAAGAAACCCGTCGTGCAATCTCAACCGCGGCGACGCGCCGTGGCTGCGTGACCAGCACCTTCGCCCCGGGTTCGTCCATCCAGAACTGCGGCAACCGAGTTGACTTTCCGCATCCGGTGGCCCCGACCAGTATTGTGACGCGCTCGGCCCTCACTGCCTGTAGTATTTCCTCACGCAGGGCATCAATGGGTAAGTCGACTGAAAGACTCTGGTTCCGTTCATGTGCGGCTTCGCTGTGTGTCTTCGCAGAGGATTTTGCTGCCGCAAGCTCATCTCTCTCTTGCCGTTGCTCATGCGCCGCCCGAAGATCTTCGTCCACCAGCGAATCTGTGAGCTGCGTCTCATCCTCCTGCATCCGGGAACTTGCTTCAGCTCGTAAGGCAGCCTCTTGCCGCTCCAAGAGCTGCCATGCATCTGCTTCAGACTGTTCTTGTTCAAATGCATCCACATCAGGATAATCAGATGGCATATCTGTTCTTACATCGTCCTGCTGTGTCCATGAACCTCCGGAATTTCGACTCAAGACACGCCACGCATCCTCCTCTTCCAGATCTGCTGGTGCCTCCCTTCCACGCACTTTGCTTGGTGCGGAGTCTTGCATCGGAAGTTT